TGCTGGCTTAGCTGGCGCCTCAATTGTGCATAATTAGTTGCTAGGCATTGTTTAGCATAGGCTGATTAGTCTCAGCCAAAGGAAATTAATTTTTTTTCTTCAACAAAGCCATGAAAACGGCTCGAGATTCTTGAAACCATAGTCATATCCTGTCCCGCTGGGAATCCCAGACACTGGGACTAGGGCAGGCAGGAGATGGAGAGACAAGAAGCAGCCTGATTACACATGGATGCTATTTGATACCAAGCAACCATTCAAGGTTGTGAGAACATGAGGGGACCTGAGTCCATTCCTCAAGATGTGGTTTTCTCAGCCCCAGCATGGGCTTTGGTTGTGATGCAGAACGAAGGCGCCTGTGTTTGCTTTCCAAGTTTACAAAAACCAGCTTCACTCAGAATATGTAATCAAAACAAATGATTTGTGTTTGCCACTCCTGTGTTTGGCACATGGGGAGACTGACCAAACTTGGGGGAATGAGAGGGACAGATGGTCTTCCCATTGTTCCACTTCTGTTGTAAGTATATGCTTGACTAAGCCCTTTCTGTGCCTCTGTCACAGTGTCGATTCTCCATTTAATGGAGGGCATTTTCCCTCGCTTCATGGGATGTCACTCTAAAGGGGACCTATGCTCTTCCTTGTTATAACCAATACATAGCCCCTATGACAGTGGGCGGTCATCATGTGTGACAGTGATTATTTAGCTGCTAAGATGTCATTAGAGAAGGTTGACAGTTCTGACACCCTATGGTGCCCTTAATAATTACTTACAGCATTCACTTCAGTGAACAGTAGCTCACCAGTTGAATGTCTGCTTTGCCCCTATGGTGACTTTCAGTAAGGATCCCTTTTTATGTGATCTATCATCAAAGTCAAGGCTGGAAGTCCTGTGTGAAAATCAGAATTCTTTTGCTTAGAGGCATTATCCTAAAGGACGTTTGATAAATCTTTCTGTAGTCTGAATTAAAATTAAAGGAAATATATTTTTTATTTTAAAAATATTCTTTTAACATGTATTCATTTTTGAGAGACAGAGAGAGACAGAGCACGAGCTGGGGAGGGACAGAGAGAGAGGGGGACACAGAATCCAAAGCAGGCTCCAGGCTCCGAGCTGTCAGCACAGAGCCCGACACAGGGCTCAAACCCACGAACCCACGAGACCATGACCTGAGCTGAAGTCGGACACTTAACCGACTGAGCCACCCAGGTGCCCCAAGGAAATATATTTCAATATTAGTTTTTATAAAGAGTCACAAATTTTTTAAATACATATTAAGTCAGTCCTTAACAGCTATTGGAGGATGATGTGACATTAAAAGGACTTGGCTATAAACCTAGAAAAAGAAAATCAGAGATAGGAAGAAGGATGGTCCATAACAAACGTTTGACTTTCTTCAGGTTGCTTATTTATAATTAATTTATAATAAATCTATAATAAATGCCCTAGGTTGAAAAGTTGAATATAATTCAATCATCTATCAGCAAATGTCTAATGAATACATGTTATGTGTCAGGCACTGTTCTGGAGATAATATCTACTGATTGATTCTTTTCCTTATTATTTGACCTATTTTTTTAACTCACCTGTGTAATTGAATGGAACTTGGAAGTCTGTTTAGTGTCTCCCTGATAAAATAAAGAAGTATTAACGTGGGTCTTATATTCAGGGAACCTTTTAAGACCTTAACTGAGGAACAGTGAATTGTACTGGCATGTATTTTAAATTTTTATCTTCCAAAAAGTGAACTTAAAAGGATGCATTGATACTATGGTACAACTTAAATACACTTCATTTTAGGCCAACAAATATATGGAGGAGGGGGAAATGAGATTGCTATACACACAAAAGAAATTAGCTCTGATTGCTCATTTTCATAGCCTTCTCCATAGGAATTCAACTTACGTTTTGCAAGCTGGCGGCTGGAGTGTTGTGTTCATTTGCTTACCTGTATGATACAGAAACATGCAAAGAAGAACCTATCAAAGCTCATTGTTCATGCAAGAGGAAGTAGCATAAGGAGGAAAGAGCATGAGAATAAAAATAAACGAAATTCAGTCCAGACTCACTCTAGATGTGTGTTCTTCTATAAATTTACCTCTCTGGACTTTAAGTCCTGACTGTAAAATGAAAAGACTAGCCTACATTATCCCTTGTAACATGAAATTCTGATGCTATGTCAACCAGTCTCCATTAAGGAACACATGAGAAAACCACAATAGAAGACTCCATAGCTCTCCATGACTTTCCGCTTAAGGATTAAAAAGGTGCCCCCGACCTTCTTGTCCTTTAGTAACCTGCTCTAGAGCCATCAGCCACTGATTTATTCAGTGTCTTTCCTCCACTTCTACTTTCAAACAAAATTTGAATCAAGAGTTGACTTTGAGTAGATCACATCAAGAGTTGATGTCCGTTCTGTAATGGGCAGCTTTTCATAAAAGGCCCGTGATGCCTCCTAGAGGTTTAAAATAAACAGATGTTCTTAGAATATCTTAGAATGTATTCTTAAAAGCAAATGTGAGATGGTGCCACACTGCTGTGTTGCTGTGCTCAGCTTACTTCTCATGATAAACGTTGCCAGGATTCTGACTTGCTTTCCATTAGGAATTATTGCTTTCACCTTGATTGACTTTGGCAAGCTATTCTTAGATAATGTCAAGTTTACTTCAGTCTGGAACTTTGACCAATACAACTTTGGCTTCTAGATGATTGTTTACTTTTGTTTATGCTCAGTAAGGACACTCTTAATACTGGGAGAAGGAGCGGGAGACTGGGGAATGGATATGTAGAGGCTGGCCAGGTGGCCATCTATAATGTGGTTTCAACCTTTTAGGATGTGCATAGCTAGACTATGTCAGCTCTAAATCAAGGAAACTGTTTTCAAATATAAATGAGAAAACAATTTCACCAAAGTTGTCTACTTTTGTAGTGCAAAGTGGTAAATTTCTAAAGAAATAGCTCCTTAAAATAGAACATTGAGTGCAAAAAACCCCAGAGTCTCCTGGGTAAATCTCTTATTGCCCTTTAAGAAAATCCAACACTGGATTCAACCCAAGACTTTAATTGGCTGGACTCTTGACAAACTGAAAACGGAAGAAAGCTTTTAGGCTTCCAAGATGCTATTCCTAAAACTAGTTGTTATGATCCATATCTCCTTGATTCAGCGCTCTGTACTCATACATATACAGTTTCAAAGATTTGGATTATAAAGGGAAATATATTTTTAGTTGGTTTTATAAAGAATCCAAATTTTCATATATAGTAAGTTTGTTTTAATAGGTGCTGTATAAAACACATTGCCTGGTTATTAAATCAATACTGTGAGGAAAACTCAAATACTCAAGTGGAAATGATGGGGCAAATAAGAGACTTTTGTAGTGCAATGTTTACATTTTGTCTTGTGGTTTCTGATTATACTCAAAATTGCATCCGCATCGAGAAGAGTCAAAGATCCAGGATACTATATTATAAGCAAAAATGATGCTGTTGATTATGTTGGTATCTGAAAGTTGGTACATTATATCTGTGGTTGAAAGAACATAAAGAATTGTGTGACAAATGGAATATAAACATGAAACAGCGTGATTTCCATTTTTTAAGTTAATTGCAGCTTACAACAGTGTTAATCTTTGCTTTTTGTCATTGCTTCTAAAGGCCTTGTTAGTTTTATGAAGAAATCATGAATCATTTCAACCAGAAGTACATCCTAGAAAGGAACTGAGTTCCCCAATTTTGAAACACAAACCACTTAGTTGGGAGAATTAATGTTTTCAGATGATAAAGCCTACTTGCCGAATTAACTCCTTGTTATATTTAATAGTTTGCATTGTACAATACAGTTCTTTTTAATCATCTAGTGATTTCCTATTACAACAACACCCACAACAAACTTACTTTACAGTATGGCCAGAAGTACTGTTTGGGTCATCTAGCTTGACTCGATATGCTAGATAATTAATTTACATTATGTCCACTATGGCCATACATATCTTATTCTTGAAAATGTTTAAGACTGTCACTCAGACATCTCTTACTTTATACAAATGCCCCGTGCAAATTAGGAAGAATTCTTCCTTTCTTTTTTAACCCTAACATTTGCCATCCTAGTTCATTACTCCTGTATTCCAAGCCAGATTAAATCCTTTTCTATATTTAAATAAAACCACTTTACTTAGAATTTCATAGATCCATCACCTCTATGATCTTGTCACCTAGTGTTTTGCTCATCTAGCTTCTTGCCTGTCACAGATATGCTGAGCTTTGGTCCTTCTGTCTTTTCAGTTGTTCTCTTTATGGTTCTGCAGGTTATTTTTATATCTTTCTAAAAGAGGGCAGATCAGCCCATTGCAATATACGTCCTCTTTTGCCAAACCATCATTCCTTTCCTGTTCTCAGCATAGCTTCTCTGGTCTTACTCTAAATGTCCATGTCCCTCCATATATCTGGATGCCATTTTGCACTTCCAAGAGGAACCCACTAATTTAGTGTGTCTTTATTTTCCTGCAATACTAATGCTCTGTCATCTGCTTATAATGCCCTGTCATCTGAAATATAACATTTCGTTTCATTTCCTTTGTTCTTCTACCTGATTATTCTTAGTGCCCACTGAGCCATTTTATTCTTTCTTTGTCTTCCTCTTATTGATATTCACTGATACTTATTTATCAATGCATGTAGGTGACAGGCAAATAATTTGTATGCTGTATTGCATAGTTCTTACCATGTTATGCCTTCACGTACACGACAGCTTGATCCTGACAGTCCTAAGAGGTAGATGAGAAAGTATCTCTCTCCCTCTTTTATAGGGGAGAAAACCAATGCTCAGTGCATTTTAAATGACTTGCCCCACAGCTAAGCCAAGGTTAACACTCCGATCTCCTGACTCTTTCTACCATACCATACCATATCACCTCTCTCTGGCAGAAGGATTGCAGTCCATTAAAAAATCTTCACTGCATTAGAAACTGGATGGAAATTAACCAAACGCTTCATTGTACCTTTGCAGATGAGAGCCCCTACACTAAATCCGCCAGCCAGACAAAGCCGCCTGATGGAGCGTTGGCTGTGAGGAGACAGAGCATCCCAGGTTAGACCAGACTGTTGGATTTTTCAGCTGTTTTACTTTTGAACCCTGTTATTTGGTGATCCTAAACAGTTCCAACTTGGTAATAAAAATCAATGATATTTCATAGGGTATAGACTGCATTCCACCCAACTTGTTCGAAGGATATTCATAAAAACTAGACTTTGGAAAAGCTTGCCAACTTGTGAGAAATCATCCGATGTGCAACTCCTTGGTAAAATGACTTGGAGTTATGTCAGCTCTCACTCATTTACTTACTCTCTTCTCTGTTTTCAGGGGGTGACTTTCACGGCAGCATCTATTTCTTTATTGAGACGTACAAGGCAGAGCAAAGGGTGCAAAATTGCTGTGGCCGAACATATATATATTCTGAATAACAAATTACTCCTTTCTTCTTATCTCTTTGAACCTGGATTTACTTCCACTGGGCAACTCTTGTAAAATTCTGGGGCTTTGTCTCGTTAGGAAGCTGCGATTAGGATTCCTATGACACAATAAGTGATACCTGTTTTTTTCAAAAAAAACCATTTTGGACAAATATCTTAAAAGCCTTACCCCAACACTTCAATGTTTTTGAAGCTTTGAATTTGAGAATGACACAAAAGTTGTAAAAGAGGAAAAAAAATTCAAAATATTACTCAAAATTTATAAAGCTAGTTGATTTGTGAAAAACCTCTTATGGAAGTAACTATACTTAAAAGAAGGGTTAAAATCATTAACACACTTAGACATTTATAAAAATAATGCCTTTATATATTTTGGACAAGTGAATTGAGCACAGCTAAATCTTAGCTATGGGATTTTAGAGCATAGCATAGTAGTTTAACAATTCAGGAGAAAGAAAGCAGTGTTTTCCAGGATTTCAGTTGAATGGTTTGGCAAATCTGTCAGTGAATAGGGGAATTTTTTCCATTTGAATGAGAGCAATATGAGTCCAGTTTCTGAGCAACCCTGTTCATGATTATTATTTACTTTTATAAGAATGGCATGTGGTTATTTTTATTCTTGCTGTGAAGGCTTAGATTCATTATGAAAGTACATGGCTTGTAAAGAGCCATCTTGTGAACATGCTATATACATCCTTGTCTGGGTGTTTTGAAGATTCTAAAGTAATTTGACTTCTATAATTAGATGGCATCACCCAGTGCGGAGATTTCTTCTATTCCATCCCATAAGCCCATCATTCTTAGTGCTGATCACATTTAGAAAAACTACTGTAGTCAGCGATGGGCTGTGTTCTCTGCTTTCTCCTTGTCAGCAGTAAGGAAGTACCCAAAGTTTGAAGTTCAAGAATGCCAGTTATCCATCAATTCCTTCTTGGCTTGTCTACATTAGCTAGTATGCAATACTCTTCTCTTGGGAAGAGTGAAGGGACTTCCTAGTGTCCTTTCCCCTTTATGTGATATTGAACAAAAGCACTGACTATAATTATGTTTTCTTTTCATGGGTTCTCTAGTGTTACTAAATTATAACATGTTTGAGGGTCAAACTTTTCCCTAAAGTCATTAAGTAGTTTTTTAAGTTACGCGCTAGGTACAAAGAAGTCGTTCATCATAATCCTTAGCTCATGACGTATAGTGATTCTTCATTACAGAACTTTTTCCTTTAGCCCTCCTTATATCAATGTAATTAGAATCAATTTAATTAGAATCACGAACCTATTTTGTAGGCTTCATGGGTTATTTTCTTGGGGTTTCAACATGGACAGACACCTTTTTGTTGTTCTTTAATGAGGTAGCAGCCAGAAGGGTTGGGGATCCTGAAAATTTTCTTACTTAGAATAGCCCAAGAAGAAAGTCGTCACCACCCAGAGGGCTAAGAAACCAAAGTGGTTAATAGCTGATTATTACTTACTATTATCGCAAGGAGAAAATTAAGGAACTTCTTAGAAACTGTTTGCTGACTGACTTCTAATACTTGGAATTCTGAACCTGTACTTACTTGACTTTTCTGTCTTACTACTTACAAGAACCTATTCTTGTTCACCAGGGGTTGTGGGGGGCATCCTCCCTTGATCTTAGGCCAAGAGGTCACTTAAGGAGAGATCTAACCCAGCATCCAGAAGTCTTAACCAGTCACCTACTATGTTTACCACCTTTACCCCATTACCCCTACCCCATGAGAAAGAGATACACAGAGGAAGAGGCAGGGGGAAATGCATGGCCTTTATTCATTGCTGGAGCTTTAGCTGAAAAATCCTGAAATGTTCTCTGGATGAACTCCATTGAACCACACGGAGCATAAAAGCAAAATGCAGGTTTACAGCCTTCGTTCCTTCCTCCTGTGCTCCCCTGCCAATCTTACTTTCCTCAAAGGTGTTTTACCACCTTGGTAGCAAGGAAAGATGTGTCTAGAGAAAAATGCAGCAAGGAACTGAAATGAGGCCTAAACAAGAGCGTGGCTAATCCAGCAGACCCTGGATCTTCTCAGCGCAAAGGTAACTCTTAGGGCAGACATAGCCTTAGCCCTAGGGCCATTTTGCTGCCCCGGGCACTATAAGCAAACACAAGGAAACTGGAACCTTCAAGGAGCTATGGCTTTCCTCACATCTACCCCCAGACTTCACTCTCAACCATCCAGTGATGGTGATGATCACTCACGTGAGCACTTTCTCTGATAGAAGGGGTGAGAGGTAGTGGAGGAAAAGTGTAAGGTAGGGAAAGCCATCTTAAACTTCTCTATCCAACTTTTATGAAAGCTCCATTCTTTGAAACTTATTCTACAAATGTAGACCTGGGGCTTCCTGGAGTAAATATTTATATACGTATACATAGATGAGATTTCTTAACATGGGCTCCACTATTTTCATGGCATAATAAAGAGTAATGTGTAATAATTCTGTCCCAAAGAAATAGCCTTGAATGTTAACAGAAATATAATTTGCTTTTTATTCATATTAAGATCCACCACCCCGTCTAAACTCAATCTTACTACAGCAATTATTTTATACTTCACAAGTCAAATATGTATCTTTTATGAAGTGACAGTTCTAGCTGTAAATCCTTTCATTCCTTTCCTTGTCCTCCGTTTCTCTTCTAAAAAACAACAACAAAAAAAGAGGGAACGGATTAAACATCCTTTAGGAGCAATGTACACTTGCTTCGGATAAAGGGGAAATGCATTATTCATGTTATTTGGAAACTTGTCATTTTAGCCATCTCTCTTACGACACTAAATGTGTAGGAACAAAAAAGATTTTTTGGCCTTTCATGAGGCTTTTTAAAATTTTAATAATGATGACAGTAAAAAAATGACATGAGTGTCTACGACCCTGAAGTTTAAATTTAGATGAAAGATCTGTTAAGTCTATTAAGAAATATTAAGGAGGCATATCTTCAGACTCATTTCTGCCCATTTTTTTATCAAAGAGAAGATGATTTCCAAGTACAAAGATATTTTGAAGTAACAGGTTCTCTCACACATCTGTTTATTAAAAACAATCTGTTGATCTGTTCCCCTCAGTCTGACAGATTACTGGTAAAGTTTACCACTTGAAGGTTGTGTCCAAATTACTAAAGGAAATCTGTACTGATTCTTAGTTTAACACATTGTACAATAATTTATGGTTTTACCCACTTAGAGATGAGGCATTTAATTACGTATGTCCAACATGAATGACGGAAAAAGATAGGATACTGCTATAGACCTCAAGGCTTAGAGTTAGTGTGTTATTTATTCGACATGCTTCCTCTTTCCAAGTAGGATAGCTTTCTTTTATTATGCTAGTCTTCACAAAGATTCCTGGGCAATTCACAAATACAAGAAGCTGTCAAGCGTTTCACATCCATTGTATTTGCAAACTTGGTGCCCCGGGAAAATGATCTTAACTCTGTAGCCAGAATGAGCTACAAAAGTTTGTGTAAGATTTCTGTTTTTGCTCCTAGAATATAAAAAAGACACTTATCAACTTGGCCATAATGGAATGAAGTCTATATCAGTCATTCTTGCTTCTCACGTTTGGGTGTTTGCTGGGGGAGTAAAAACACGGAGCTGAGTCTGAAATGTCCTTTAGCCTCAGACGTATACACCCAAGCTGTTTAGAATACATCCAGGAAGGGTCAACACCTACTGGAAAATCAGTCTGGTAAATCATACAGGGACATTGGCACCACGGAGAAGCTGTCAACCTTGAATTAAGAAGGAAAGGACAAGAATTTTAAAGGTTCTGCCCTCTCTGTTCAGCATTTCCCTGCCTTTGTTAGCACACAATTTGACACTTCATTGGTCAAAATCTTCATTATGACAGCATATATAGTGTGACATTTACACAGGATTTTACAGCTATGACATTGCTCAGGTGTATGAAGGGCATTTACTCTGGTTGGGGCTGGTTCTCCTTTCTTCCTTTTGGTTCCACCCTTGAGTTCCTCCAAAAAAGTGGGCAAGTCTCACAGGTGGTAAACTAAAGTCAGCTGAATCAAGCACGTATGAGGCATCACACAAAAAAAGGCGCTGCACAACGTATCCATATATCAAATCATCACATTGTTCACTTAACTTGTCAATTACATCTCAATAAAGCTGGGAGGGGAGAGGTAAAGGACCGTTACATTTCCAGTGTATTCTCATATGATTCAGAAAAGAAAAATTGATCTGTGAGTGTGTGTGTGCGTGTGTGTGTGTGTGTGTGTGTGTGTGTGTGTGTGTGAAGGAGTATTTCATAGTGGTCCTGCAACTCTTCTATAATTTTCAAATTATTTCAAAGATAAAAAGTCAAAAAAAAAAGAAGAAGAAGAAGAAAAAGAAAGGAATGGTAGCCTGGTGCACTAATGCTGCCCAAAGATACTGAGTCAAACTCTGGCGTTAGTGAGCTAGTGACCCATGCGGGAAAATACCAAGACAAGCACCTTTGCTACTCAGTCAGGCTGTCCCTGTGTCCTCAAAACATCCAGCGGGGCCAAGGTAAGGACAAGGGGACTTAGGTCTGGGGTGTGCCCTACCAGAGCCCCTCAGAGTCCACAGTAAGAACACAAAACAACAGGGTTTACTAGCATTCTAATTGT